TATGTAACAAAAAAAAAAAAACAATTATTACAAAATGTCCAAATGAATGAATTGAAAGAAAAAATTGTATATTATAATTTACAGCAATTTTTGCTCAATCAAACAGAGCTCATCGCCAAGATGCACCGAGTGTAGGTGAGTCCGACAGTTGGAAATAAAGTTCCATACTCCCTAAAATATATTTAATAAATTTTAACTATCAAACATAATATTATTTCAATGGCAGAAATCACTTTTTGATACTTAGGCGAAAAAACTGTTAAGTGTTTAAGTTATATAATATTTTATGTTAATATATTTATGTTATATTTAAAAGTGTAAATATATGAACAGGGACCTAGACTTATGTTAAGAGAATAATTTTAAGTGTTAACAAAGGAAAGCTGACATGTCATAAAATTTTAAAATATTTGAATGATATTAATTTTACATTAAAATATCAAAGTTACCAAGCATAGGTTCCCCAGTGGTGAGCCTCGCACACTGCACCAAGCATTTCTTATAGAACAGGAAGAGATCTGCACAACTAGTGATGACTGCACCGCTGCCCCCTCCATTTATAGTGCTATTAGCTCCAGAATTGGTGTTGCCTGTATCGGCTGATTTTGCATCCTAAAAATTACAATGTTTTATATTTTTTTACCTATATGATAGCCAAAATATTGTTTCACCTATGTACATAAAATCTATAGTAGGCAATATATACTAAAAACTTAAACTAAAACTTCCAAATTTTGTTAAAACCTATACGTATTATTTACTGTGTAATGTGTCTTATATACAATAAGCCGTTTTCATTGAACTGTGTGAAGCATATGTTTAACTTTAACACTGTGTTTAATCCGTAATGATCGAATTCTACAGTAGAATTGTAAATTAAATTAAACTGTAACAAGTTAACAACTTAATTATAAACATTTTAGAAACATTGACTTCATTAAACATTGCTCGCGTTATGGTACAAAAAGGTGAGCACTCAGAATGAGTTTTTTCAAATCTTTGGGTTGTTACTTCAAAAAATCTTAATGAAGTTAACTTAGCCTGCCATAAACTTACCTGTATAAAAGTGTCCATGAGTGATCGCAAACTTGTATCAAGACTGGTGATATAAAGTGATAGGTACGGTTCGAAGCATCCACCAATCAGCCCCACCCACGGTGAATCACCCGCTGGTACGTCGTCCGTTTGACTCTGATATTTAAAACAATTATTTTATATATAAAGTCCAAAATTATCGAATGCCTAGTTAGTCTAGTGCTCATAATCGCAGTTACTGAAGATGTGGTTGCGGTTTTCCTCTCACGAAGTTGCCTCGAAAAGTACGTAAAGCCTTTGGTCCTGCGCCTGATTTCTCTCCGATCGTGTCGGATTTTTTTTTATATAATTTCCCTTGTTGGCCGTGGTGACCAAAATTTTGTCTGGACGACATTAATATTATTTATTGTGCAAGTTATCACAGTGTTCTAACTACCTTACGTTTACCAAGGCGCTAGTTATAGATTTTTATTCTCATAAAAACGATCCCAGCCAGCACCAATAAAACTTTTTTTGCAGTCGCTTTTATTAACCGAATGATAGTTACACTATTATTCGGTTAATTATTTTAAGCAAGTACTAGGTTAATGAATATAACATTGCTTAATTTAAAAATAATTTCGCAAAATAAAATTCATAGTTACCTCTTTACCGTCGTCATCGAAAGAACTTTGCTTTTCAACTGCAGTATCCACATTATCTGTTCCAAAATCAGTACCTGAAATAAAAACTCGTCATCACTATCATCATCATCATTGCAGCCCATCACAAATCCGTTGCCGAAAACATCCCAAGCGCTGCCAAAAACATAATCCTTAGCCACCTGCGTCCATCACCTTCCTGTGTCTCTTACCAACATCATAATAAATAACAGTACAACTAGATTGGTAGCGGGTCTACATGTCGCTTAGCGGTACGAGATTGCCACTGAAGAATCTTTCTTCCTCACCAGTTGTTATTTTATTGCATTGCTTCGAGATATATGGGCAGTGCAATTGCTACTGCACCTTAATGTTCCGTTCGGCTATGTCCTTTTCTACTGAAAATAGTATTAATACGATTTCTATCGTGCAGAGTAACTGAACATAGCCCTAAAACTATAAATAATAAAATTTTATAAATACATACAAAGATATATTATTTATAGGATAAGGGTGACAAACGAGCACACAGTCCACCTGATGGTAAGTGGTTGCTGTGGCCCATAGACATCTTACATCTATCCTCGATTAGGAATGAAAATGCAGATGCGTTGTCACCCGTGAGGACTAAGATGGAATGCCTCGTTTCCAGCAAAAAGGGTCTCCGGTTCTCTACACTCACCATACGAAACACAGCAGACTGGAACTGCTATTTTAAGCTGGTATTCTGTAAGAGCATGGGCCTTCCCCGGTCGAGCTGACCCACTCGTGCTACAACTATACTACTAATATAGCTCTAGCATTTTTTTAATATAATATAAGAGTGGCAAACAAGCAGACAGTCCACCTGATGATAAGTGTTTGCTGTGGCCCATAGACATCTTATATCTAATCCTCGATTAGGAATGAAAATAATGAAAATGCACATGCGCTGTCCTCACGGACTAAGATAATATGACTCGCTTCCAGTAATACTTGTGTCTGAAGTCGAGTCTTTGCTGAACAGTCTCAGATTGAGGGCGACTAAATCTAGCCCAGTTTAACCCTCGGAAGACACAAGTTTGCGCGTTAACCGCTAAAAAGAACCCCTTTGTCGTAGCTCTTCAGTTTCAAGGCACTCCCCTTGTTGCCAGTATCGGAATCCTCGGCGTCGACGTATCAAGTGACGTGCGGTTTCGTGGTCACTTGGAAGAGAAGGCCAAATTGGCCTCTAAAAAGCTTGGCGTGCTCAGCAGAGCGGGACAGTATTTCATGTCGACACACCGCCTGCAACTTTACAAGGTTCGCGTGTTCCCATCTCTGGGCTGGAGCTCCTCAATACCAGCTCCTTCCACTTGACCACATCCAGCGCAGAGCGGCTCGAATCGTCGACGACCGAGTGCTTTCCGTTCGGCTCAATTCACTGGCGCTGCGAAGAGATGTTCCATCTCTTTGCATTTTCTTTCGCATATACCATGGGGAGTGCTCTGAGGAATTGTTCGGATTAATCCCAGCCGCCAAATTTCGTGAACGCACTACACGGCAAACGTCCTTATACCGGCCACACCATCTGGATGCTTAACGGTCCACCACTGTACGTTTCACAAGGAGTTTTCTTCCGCGCACGACCTCTCCGAACCGATACGACCTGGGGATCTTCAAGAAAAGAGCTTACTCCTTTCTAAAGAGCCGGCAACGCACCTGCAATTCCTCTGGTATTGCGGATGTTCATGGGCGGCAATATTCACTTAACATCAGGTGAGCCGCATGCTCGTTTGCCCCCTCTTCTATAAAAAAAGGTCTTGGTTTCTACACCAAACGAAACATAGCAACGTTAAGCTGCTATTTGACGCTGCTATTCTGTGGCTCAACAATGTCAAAATTATAAAAACAAATGATTGTGGCAAGTCAGAGCCGTGCCATTTGTCTAATTTTTTCACAAGTAACAATACAACTCAGATATCGATCACTGGTGCGGCCATCGTTTATAATAATTTAATAATTATTTCTTATATCTACACAGAATACTAAATTTGGAATAAACCTAATATTACGTATTTTATCGCGTTTAATTTAACTACTAAAGCACCCGAAACTTCTGGAATTACAATATGTTAAATAAAAAGTGAAAATTAGAAGTAAAATTGATTTTATTTAATATATTAATTCATTTATAAATTATGGTGATTATGATAATTTTAGCGTGCGACTCTAGTTGGCAGTGAAATGCAATTGTACTGTAGTGTACGTTAATCATCGCGGTTGCGGCTGTTAAAAAGTTACAGTCTATATTCGTCCCACAGCTGGGCACAGGCCTCCTCTCATTTCTGAGAGGGTTTTAGGGCAAGGAAGTATACTCCGCGCTGCCCCAATGCCTGTTGGCGAACTTCACATGTCATTAGTGTTGCCAGATCCGATTTGTTTTAAGTCGGTACATGAGGTCAAAAGAATCGGGATTTAGGGTGGTAGATTGGGACAAGCAAAAAAACAAGGTGTTTTTTAATACGGGTTTAATTTATTGCGTTTTGGACTACTAGTGCAAGTATAATATTATATTACCTAAATTAAATATGTATTTAATCTTACATTACAAGTAATCAGTCTTGCTGGCCTAGTAGAAATTTTAAAATAAAATCGTACTTTAAGTGTAATTGATGCACTTCAGAAGAATAAATTAAGTATTTATGTAAGTTATTTATTTTTTAATAAAATTACATTTTTATTGGCCTTGTTTTTTTATAAAATTCATTGCAAGTCATATTAAAGTTAGTTTTCATTGGAATTTCTGCTTTCACATGCCCGAGTGTCAAACGGTTTCACCTCTCAGAGCAAATTAAGTGAGCCTGGGAAAATACCCTTTCTGTTGTTGCGTTTCATACTGGAATTGAAGCCATTAAAGAAAATAATTTTTCAAGATTTACTATGTCTGGATTGTATTTAAAATTATTGTGCCATTTTCGTAGCGGCGTTTAATCTTTGTGTTGCATTGCTGCCTTCACTAATTCTTTGATTTTACATATTCACTTCTTCATAAAGTTGATCCATGTCGAAAAACGTATCAATTTTTAGATTTTCAATAATGTTAACTATTGACGTGTAAGTAAATAAATCATTCTGTAGAGAAAATGGTTTTAATAAGTCCAATCTGCTATCCTCATCATATTTAGTTTATAAGTAATGAAGAACATATTTGTACCATGCACAACAGTAATATACACTTTTTATGAAACATTTTTTTTCATTTTTTTGATTTATCGGGACATTTAGGGTTCCGATCAGGTACGAATCGGTACGCGTCCCCAGACCCCTGAAAATCGGGACGTCCCGCGCAAATCGGTACACCTGGCAACACTACATGTCATCGAAATATTTGTTTTTATTTCTCAGACATGCAGGTTTCCTCACGATATTTTCCTTCACTGCTGAGCACGTAGTAAATCGGCACTTAAAATTAACAATTTAATTGATGCCGGCGGGAAATGAACATGACTTTAGAGCAGCGCTACCATCTGAGCTATCACAGCTCTCAGCTACTAGTGCTCATATTCGACTGTATTCTTCTAGAATAAAGTGAATCAGAACAGATGTATATTTAATTATTTATTATTTAGTTATAAAAGATTTTTAATAATAAAAGATAGGCGTGGAGTTGCGTCGCAGCTTTTAGGTATTAATTACTACATATCATTCCATGGGTGTCGTAACTGGCGACAGGGAAATTGAAGCTGCCAAGCATGGCAACCATAGCAAATACGTAATGGCCACTATGAGGCTGTTTATGAGGGAGTCCTATTTTAAGGAATTTTTTTGGTAATCTGTAATGAATGAATGAATTAATGAATAAAAGAGAATAAAACTCACCAACAAACCTCTTATGCAACAACACTTCGAAGTTGTAAGTTTTTTGTATTGCATATAGAAGTAATTTCACGTCAACTTCGTTGCGTCGCGACGACATTATATTTGTGAGTTCCGTGCGCGTTATCTGTAAAAAGTAAAAAGCAAACACGTTTCTTTTTTTTAATTTTTGGCTGATACAGATTATAACCAATGAGTGCTGGCTGTATTATAGCCGGGAGCTAACTAGCCGTGGGTTAAGACCCGAAGCTTGGTCGCCACATGGAATGAATAATAGCTTTGATGGCAGAAACATTGTTCCGGGTTTGGGTTTTTGTTGACTAGTAATTAATGACATCACATGTTAACGACACGTAACATTCCTACAGGTTACATTTTTAAACTCACTGTAATTTAGGATTATTCCAAAAATTATAAAACCACTTAAATAGCCATCTGATCAGGTCGAAATTTTATTGGGGCCAATGTAAAAATGCTTTGTTGATAAAAATAAAAATCAAAGCAAATGATTAACTGATATTTAAAATTTATTTAAATTAACAACAAAATGAAGTTGATAACCTCCTTTTTGGAATGTTCTCTTTACAAGTCCACTGCTGAACATAGGCTTCCCCCAAGGAATGCCACAAAGCATGGTCCAGAGCCACCTGTATCTATCGACTTCTTGCATATTTTACCAGGTTGTCACTCCATCTAGTGAGGGGTCGCTCTACACTACTATTACTAGTAATATTATTAGTACTATTTCGGAATCGGTTAAAATAAAAAATGCAATAGAACACACCTTGCAGAATTGTCGCGCAATACGCTCGCTGAGCAGCCAGGCGTGCGGGAACACGGAACCGAGTGATTCCTCGAAGCTGAGCAAGTGTTTCTTGAGCCACGCGTAGCGCCGCTCGATGTGCGACAGCCACGCGCACTCCTGCTCCGCGGAGAACAGGTGCTGGTACTCCTGGATCATTATGAACACACATTTATTTCTTGCATTTCATCATATTCACGTACGTAAGTCCACAGCTGAAAATTTGCCTATGAATGGTAGGGAGGATTTATATACATCGTAACGATTGGCAGCCGGACTAATGAGTGCAGTACTAACGGGTTTAGCCAAGATGACATTCTACGATCGTTAACTTAGCCTCGATTCCATACAAAAATGTATGAAATCAACGATAAGTTATATGATGCGACGTAACTTTATGTTAAGATATGTCATTCCTATTTGATCCACGAAATCAACGTTAGGTCCTAGTTTAGGACTTAACATTAATATAAAGCACCTTATTCACGATCCATCTTGCTGTACGTTAAGCCTTAGCGTCCCGTACAGCAAGATGGACAGTGAATAAGGCACTTAATATGTCATTCCCATTCGACTCACGAAATCAACGCTATTTTGATTTTTTTTTTTTTTTTTTTTGGGCGCCCATGTGCTCTGGCCCCCTTTTTTTTTTTTTTTCTCTTTCAATAAATGGCGTTACCACCATCCTTTTACACCAGACGAAAAATCTCCCCACCAGCGACGATTAGCAATATCAAGGGTGCGAGTATTTTACGTTTTAAAGCTATGTAGTAGTTATATTACGATATAGCACGAATAAACACCTTGACCGGGGTAAGACCACTTTGTCATAGAATACCAGCGTAATATAACAGATTAATGATGATGTATGGTGAGTGTAGAGACCCTTTTTAAGGGAAATGAGGCTTTCCATCTTAGACCTCAGTGGTGACAACGCATCTTTATTTTGATTCTTATTTGGGGATGGATGAAGGTGACTGGCCAGAGCATTCAATTACCACCAGGTGGACTTAATGCTTTTTGGGAACTTCTCACAGCTAACCTTGGGCGTGATGAAACAACGTGATATATGCCAAAATAAGAAGAACTTCCAAAAAACTACTAAAACGAAAACTTTTTTTACATGGGGAAATACCTACGCATACCCGCCTAGCGGGGGTAAGGATTGGTTATATCGGACTTGCCTCAACACCATCGTGTTTCACCTTCATTGCATATTGGCAGGGCCACGGGAACGTTTTTTCCCACACGTCTGCGGCCCCACGAGCGCCCGCCGCACCATGATAGTCCCTCCTCATAACAGGACTTCTTTTCCTTTTCAGGGAGGGCGCACCAGGAACACAAGGCTCATCTACCACCGCAACCTCCCCGAACGGCCCCGAGCCCGATCCCAAGCCAGGAATGAACGAGCACTCGAAAGCACCAGCTTTCCCGATTCCAGCAGCGGAACTAACCTGTGGGATCCGTCGCCAACGAAGTTTCAGCTGCGGAGGGTAGGAAGTGCGCCACGTCGCCATACCGTCACAAAGACAGTTACAGTGGTAGACTATGCTGCTTTTATATATATATATATATATATATATATATATATATATATATATATATATATATATATATATATATATATTGTCAGCTGACCTTGACTAAGAGAATGCAGATGCATTTTCTTCCTCGAGAACTGAATGGCATACTACTTCTATATGGAAATAATATTTGGCAATATTTTTTTGTAAAATTGACGATTGCTAATACGGTAAACAATCCCACTTAGAGAGGCTTTTGTCCAGAAGTGGACTGTTTATGACAAGGCGGTGGTAACAATGCTCAAGCACACAACAAAATGAAAGATTTCTAGTTGAATCTGACAAACCTGCAACTGCATTGAAATGAACCAGTTAAGAAGCTCCTTCTTGACTTTCGGATCCAGCGCATCGACCACACCGCACGCTTCCGCTAGTGTACGTTGTGAAACGCCGCTTTTGCTACCTGATAAAGTAAAACTTATTTTCAATGTTACACTTTTTAATATTAAAGGCTTTGCAGTTGCGCGCAAATATCTAATAATAAAGCTGTAAGTTTGCTGCGTCCTTGACATTTAAAAAGAAATCAAGGGCCGAATAAATTACTCTTTATGCTAAGAACAACATAAAAATATAGACAGAACTCACTTAATATTCCCATCGTAATAAAATTTCTCTATAATTACCTCTTTAGTTCAATATTCTCAACTGTGTCTAAGAAAACATTAGATATTACAGTGATTTATATGTTTTCCGTTCGTTGCTTTAAATAACAATTACTTGTAAAAATAGTTCGTTTTCTCTACTACAATAAGCTCAAGGTAAATTTTAGATAACATATTTATTTATTTAGTAATTTATTATTTTATTAATTAATCATTCTCCTGATGCATGTTTAGGCCAAAACTCTGAAAGACATGATTTGGGAGCTCTAATTTGTAGATTCTATTGACAATAAAAAAAAAAAATTATCTTACAAATATCCTACACTTTACTAATGATAACATACATTTTCGTTATATGCCTTTCACATAAGGAAAAAAAAATCGACGTAATTCAATTAAGGACCAAAAAAGTTTCGATACAAGCCTCAATTTCTCCGAAGTTCTACATTATTTTGACGTAAAATTTATACCAAAATAATCATCAACATTTGCTTTTGTAGCTGAGCTTTTTTACCAGTCGGAATGGGGAAAATATAAATACAAGTATCATTGAGTCACTAAACGTAAAAAAGAAATATCCTATCTCCGGAGAAAAAATAATGGAGAATAAAAATGTCTGCATGCTTGCCATATGGAACTGGCCCAGATTATGCAGTAAAAGTACTAAAAATCTACAAAGACGACAAATTTTGGGTTTTGAATACGTTACCCAAATTACAAGCGTTTTATAAAAAGTGTGTAATGTCTAAAATTATTCATTCGAGATAAGCTCGGTCAATGACGTTGCTGAAAATATTTTTATAATGAAAAATACGGTAATTGACTGTAAGTACCGATTAAAAAATATTAGTTACAGTTGGTTATTTTATTTAAACAGGTTGCAACCGTACTATTTATTTATTTATAACACTATGCTGTCGTTTGTAGATATAATCGATTATTAACCAACGTCGGTTAGCAATCGATTACTGTGAAAGAATTAAAATATTTATGTGTACTTATTTCAACAATAAGGTTCATAAATAATGAAAAATATATCAAATAGATTATATTAAATTAATTAGATAACATAAGAATGACACACCAAAATTTTTCTATCCACTGAACTCCATGAACTCCATCCTAAGAAAACTTGTATAATGGAAGATCAAGATCATTTATTCGACATACAATAAAATAGTGCGAGCGAGTGAATAGAGATATGAAATAACGTATTGCTCGCGTAAGTCATCGCCCGCTCGGAGCGTATAATACCCAAATTTGCGTAACGACGAAATGTAAGAGCGCTCTTAATTGTTTCTTACTAGTTATTGTATTCGTGCGTATTCAGAGCACCGCGTTTTGTCGGCGAACTAACTGCTTCCATAACCCTGACAGTAATGAAAAGGCTCTGTGTCCAATAACAGTACGTATATAAGCTGCAATGTTAATTTTTTACATTTACCAGTGAAGGCGTCCTTAAAATCTGCGAGTATTTGCGTAGCTAGCTGCGACCGAATCGAGTGCACCTCGTCACGTAGCGCGTTCAACTCGCGAATGTCGCGATACGATTCGAAGTGCTGTAATACCTACAGGCAAGGTTTTAATACATGGTTATTTTTCTATATCCCATATCGTCCGTGTCGTGTAGTAACAAGCGACTGAGTAAAACAAACCAAGAGATAGATATTTTCTAGTTGTGAGTAGTAGCAAATGCTACTACTCACAACTAGAAAATAAAAAACTGTGGTTGCCAATCCGCATGCAAAGCGTGGCATCTATGGCGAATATCCCCCTCCCCTAGGCGGCAATCTATGGGAGAAGCCTTATCCAGCAGTGGAATTTTGATAGGCTGTGAAAATGTGAGGTGTTGCCATACACTATTAAATGAGTAATTTTTTAGATTTTAAACATAAACTAAATAGATTTCAATTTTCTTTACCTATGCTTTTCAAAGGTTTTTATTTTCAAAATATTTTATTGCAATAACTGGAAGACGGATTATTTTAAATAATTTATTTTTTATTTTTAAAAATAAACGTTAGCCCCACGCTAGAATTTTCTCCTGTATCGTGGAGGCAATTTACAAACATGAATTGCACAAGGACAAACATCCAGACCCGGAATAATTGTTTGTAGGCAATACAAATATTTGTTCCGTGCGGGATTCAAAGCGGCACCCAGCGCAGCCACTCATTGCTAAGCCACTGCGCCACGGAGTCGATCACTCATAGCAACAGCTTATTTTCTCTCACCTCCATAATAGCCTGCAAAGGCAACACCAGCTCTTTGTACTGTCGGCGCTGTGCCAGTCCCCGCAAGGTGGCAGCACCGCCGGCCAACATATGCAAGTGGTTGAGTGCGGTGATAGCAGCAGTAAGGTTCCACTTGGCGCAGTCCAGTTGTTTTATCTCAGCTGTGATTTCGCGCACCATGGTCTCACTGCGTTCTGCCTTTTTGTTTATGTCCGCTACCTGAAATATTTTATTTTTTATACTAATAAATCTCGTGTGGTGGCGACGCAACAGAGACTATCACACCATTTTGACCCGTGGGTGTCGTAAGAAGCGCCTATGAGATTAACCAAAAAGTTCTTATGGCTTCCGATAGATGGCGATATAACCATTTTGTTTATGTCATTGTGTAATTCCGCCTCAAAAGCGTGATAATGAACGCAAATAATCCTATAATGGGAGAGACCCATGTGCAGTTGTGGATTTTTACTGACTGATCAAAAGGTAGAACAGACATTTCCAAGAACTAGACAGTTCCCTGATTTGTCTATTTATGAACTCACATTGATGATGACTTCAAAAGTAGAGGCCCATAGGTCTCTAATATATCTCATAATTACAAGTCACAATACGGGAAACATACATAGTATAAAACACATTTGAAAACTGATCCTTCTTGTACAAATTTTGACTTTAGCTGGAATTCAAACGCAACATCTTTAACCTGTACAGTTGTTGACTATTTACAATTCAACAACACAGCAAAAATAAAACACTGAATGCATAAAAAAATCTGTTACAGTTAAATAATTCTTACCTGCAAAGCTAACTCAGCAATGCACCGTTGGGCCTCCAGTAAAGCCTCCTGTCCAGCATCTCGTTGTGCCGCCTGCTCCCGCACTAAACGCTGGATGTCATGCTGGACGGATGCGAGACGAAACTCACAGCGCGCGGCAGCTGTCTCCACACCTGAGAGCGATTGCTCCGTTGGAAAAACTCGATTTATGTAGGCAACCGCATCAAACTGTTCAAAAAAATATTTTTGTTTCATAAAATAGGTGTATCATGTATGTTGATATATTTTCAAGTGGTGGTATAGGTGTTAGTGTGTGTGAGTGCGTTCCCATGGTACTGCCGATATGCGGAGCAAATTATACAAATAGAATAGAATAGAATAATTTTTTATTCAATATAGATTACAAGTAATTCTTATTGAAAGTCAATTTTTTACTTTACCACTGGTTCGAAAAAATACCTCTGTCTTGGGAAGAACCAGTAAGAAACCCAACGGGACTTTTAAAAAAAATGTATCTTACAATATCAATGGTCACAAAATATTTACAAAATTTATTTTAGAAACAGCTTGGAAGCGACCACCTCATTCCCAGAGATTATTATCAACCATGTATACATTTATATCATAATGACCCTTTTTGTACAGTTTTTGTTTAATTAAATATTTAAACTTGGTAATACAGAGACCTTGTATATTTTCTGGGAATTTGTTGTAATAGCATATACATTGCCCCCAGTGGCGACGCTAGGGCTCCAAACTAGGGCAAGCCCAAGATATGGTTTTGTTGTTTTTAGCAGTTTAATAAAAATACACCAACCTTGAGCTGTCTCCACTCTTTAGTTTCATATTCAGTGCTGTCGAGGATGTGTTTAACAAAGCACACAGAAAGCATACTACCGCTAGATAGATTGTATGACATATGCAATTGCACACCTTTGGTGGTTTTGAAAAGAGCCGTTTGGGTTTGCTTGAGATATTTACAAACAAAACAATACATGAACAAAAGAAAAGCATGAACAAAGTACAAACAAACTATGTACAAAGTTAAAAAAGGGACGCCTGGCAGATGTAAAACCTCGAAATTATTTTGTTTAAGTTATATGCATAAAAGAACAGATTACGACAGGAATTAGATAGTTATAATGAGAAGTGTAGCGGCGCTGTCATCGCGCCACAAGCGAAAACACACCGAAGCCTTAATCGCGCTATCAACATTCCGAATCATAAACAGTATATATAGAACTTTTCCGAACTATCACACGGAGTGTTGGCCGCTCCCCGGGCAGAACACCTTGCCCGGCGGGAGATCTCCCATTTTCCTTCCACGGCCACAGTGGTGACCCCGACGTGATCTGAACACGCAACCAAACAACCTTCGGAAACTTCAAGCTTCGTCATCGTCATAGAATACCCCACCCATTCGCTCCCGAGCAGATATCGTCTGCAGTCTTCATATCCTGCAAGCCATCTAGCTTCATAAGGTTCATCGCAGCACTGGAATAATAATGCTTCCTGTTCCTTCAAGCTACTCTCTGCGCTATACAGTGTTCGGCACGGCTCTGAGCCTTACTGCTCGTCTCTGCTTTACGGCACTCTCGCAGATTACTTGCCTTCTTCTCGACTCACCGCAGACTACAAGGCAATCTCCTGGCACTTGCACATTCGTCGGCAATGAGGCTGCACTATTGACCTCCGGTCTGAGCAGGGGGGTGATGTAGCGGCGCTGTCGTCGCGCCACAAGCGAAAACACACTGAAGCCTAAATCGCGCTATCAACATTCCGAATCATAAACAGTATATATAGAACTTCTCCGAACTATCACACGGAGTGTTGGCCGCTCCCCGGGCAGAACACCTTGCCCGGCGGGAGATCTCCCATTTTCCTTCCACGGCCACAAGAAGATAAAGATTTGCTAATTTTTTACCATAAAATAATGACTATTTATTATATAATTATTCATTTTCAATTTATAATAAACCGTACAAAATGATATTCAATTCATAATAAGCCGTACAAAATGATATTTTGAAACTCATATGGTAATATAAATATTAAATTAGCCGATAGCGTAATTGTGATATCTAGCGTAATCTTTAGGTATCATCGTGAGAATCAACCAATTTTCGTTCGATAAAATGATTTTACCTATAGAATTAAGTAGATGGCGCTATTAAAATTTTATATACTGGAAATAACTAAAGGGAGTATTCTTTAAAAACCTCAATACATTCTTGTGTATTCTTTTGATTTATTACATTAAAATTTAGGCTCCACGTTAAAAAAAGATTGTAACACTTATTTCCTATAAAATTAAACCTAGGTGTCTCATATTTTATGCCGCCGTTTACAATGATAATAATAATTCATATGGTAATATAAATATTGAGTTATTAAACCCTTAAATACGCCTAACTTAATTAAACTTTAATACTAAAGAGTCCTGTACCTATATTTAAAGTATGAAGAAATGTTTATTGAATATTACATACATACATATAATCACGCCTCTTTCCCGTAGGGGTAGGCAGAGACCACTTCTTTCCACTTGCTACGATCCTTACATACTTGTTTCGCTTCGTCTACTTTCATTATTCCCTTCATACATGCTCTACGGTTTAGGGTACTCTTAACCTGACCTTTTTTCAAGACGTCCCTAATTTGGTCTAGAAAAGTCCGCCTAGGTCTACCCCTTCCAGCACTTCCATTCACACTCGCCTTATACACTTTCTTTTCTTACTTACTTTTCGTCAATCGTTCTTCATTCATTCTCTCGATGTGGCCAAACCATCTCAGCATACCTTTCTCAATTTTTGTCACTACATCTTCTTTCAGACCACAACGTTTCCTTATCTCACTATTTCATTTTTTTGAATTTTTTGAATATTAAATTTCATTTTTAAAGATTTTGCCTTTTCCTCGCCGACTAGCACTTCAACACACTTGTATTCATCACAATGAACACTATTATCCTCCCATTTTCACTGAAAATCTTTGAAAAAGCATAAATTTTTTACAAACAAAACAAAAACAAACATAAACATTGAAATGTGAAGTGAACTTGCATACGAATGGCCCGCACCCCATTTGCTATAATTATATTAATATATTCATAGTCGCTAACGCACTCCTAAACAACTTCAGGGTAAAGCCAGGCTTGTGGCTCAATAGTAATTGCTATATAAACATTTCGTAGTTATATTTCATTAGAGAACAATTTGACAGGTTAGAAAGGGAGCGATCGCCTTCTCGAAAGCCCGGTAAAAAGCCCACGCGTGCGAGGGAGAAAACCAATCGCTCAATTCAACTCTCCTTATATGTATGACAGCAGTATTCGTAAGGCTACGAGGTCGAACAGAGTGCGCGGGAAATTTGAAATAGTATGAAACAGTTTACGAGTTATTTTATTACTTGATATAATTGATTGATTCATCTTAATGAGGCAAGCCGGGCTTCTGGGCTTTTATAGAGGCTTCGCCACTGATTGCCCCAAAAATGAATTACTGACTCTGTGGAGTCAAGAAACAAAAGAAACTGGCATCACTAGCTTGTGTATATGCCGAAAGGCGGATTATTGTTGCAAAAATTGTTGCGCAATTTAGATGTCACCATTCCCATTATAATACAAGTTTCACCAGATGAAGTATTAGTATAAATTATTAAGAATATTGCTGTTTTTTCACTTTTATTTTTCTTAAAGTCGTATATTTACTGATATTAAAACAAACCAGATACAAACAGTACAACCAAAGAGATTTTTCGTTAATTTTATATAAATAAAAAACATAGAAACTTTTTCCTCAATCTAATACTTTCCATATAGATTAATTAAGATTGAGTTCACATACGGCTCTCTGGTATGGTGGATCAAAACTAATGTAGCCACCACTATAAGAAAGCTTCAGCGTTACCAGAGATTGGCATGTATGGCTGCCACAGGCTGCACAAGAACTACACCAACAGCAGCTTTAGAGGCTATACTGGAGCTAACACCGCTTTATTTGCACATACAACAAGAAGCAACTTTAGCTGACATTAGACTCAAGACCCTAAATCTTTTAAGTAAGAGTTGAGTCTTTCTCCTATTTTACAAGCCAAGTACGATAGGATCCCAAAACAATTTGTATTACATAAGAAGTACAAGATACAATTAAATGAAACTGACCATCAGGAAGGACTAAACCTAAAAGAGATTAGAGTTTTCACGGATGGTTCTAAAACAAATGAAGGTGTAGGATCTGGAACTTCCTCTGAAGACCTTAATATCCACATATGTACACCGCTGGGTACCCATAACACAGTCTTCCAGGCTGAATATATGGGTAATGGGTATCATCCAAGCGGCCATAGCAATAGATGCTAGGAAGGTAAAAGACTTCTCCATCAGAATACTTACCGACAGTATGGCGGTACTACAAGCTCTGAGTTGTAATGTGCCACTGTGCAGGGCATGAATGGGGAGGAAGAAACGGCGGCTCACGTGTTGCTTCATACGGGGCTAAACATCTCAGCACGTCGGATCGCTCCCCAAAGTTGCTTGCAACATCAAAGGACTGTTGAACTTCTTCGGAGAGATTTCAATGCTCGAATAATCGTATTATACCTACCAATCCCTTTTGGTGGTTACGTTCATTCACTAGTACCTAGAAACTTCAATAATTTACATACGCAGCTTTGGAATAATTTAGTAGAAGTAGACTGTAGACAAGCTAGGAAGGCCCTGCCTAAAATAAACAGTGGTCTAACCAAGGTTCTAATAAGACTAAACAAGCCACAGTTCAGGGTAGTAACAAGTGCTATCACAGGACATGGCTCTTTTAACAAACATTTATTTACCATATGTGTTACAGATAGTCCCCTGTGCAGGGCATGCATGAGGGAGGAAGAAATGGCGGCTCATGTGTTTCTGACATGTCCGGATGTGGCTTCATACAGGGCTAAACATCTCGGCACGTCGGGATTGCTCCCCAAAATTGCTTGCAACATCAAAGGACTGTTGAACTTCTTTGGGGAGATTTCATGGCTCGAATAATCATATTATTCTTGCTCACACACAAAATACGCGCTAGGATGCGGAGTTATAGAAAACGGCCCGTCATAAACTAAACTAAGATTTACAGATAAAAAATCATTTTCTGGTTTGTTTTGTAGTAGATTTTGGAGTGAACGAAGATTTAGTAGGTGTAAGTTTATTGTCCAAATTGGCGATATAATGAAAACGGCCCAAATTAGGAGTAACCTTGACCGACGAGCATGTATGCGTAGGTATATGGATGTGGAGGAGGCAAGAGAAATGCGTCAAATGCGTGCCAAATGGAAGTCTGTAGTCTCTGTCTACCCCTCCGGGTAACAGGCGTGAGGGTTTATGTTATGTTTATTTTTAAAACTAAAACTACACAAATGTTATTTTCATTTATTAAATGTTGGTTGCTTAAATAACAAAAAGTTAGAAGTCATTTATAATCACATGTAATCACATGAGAAATACAAAACAGATTTATAAGGGAAAATCAAACATATAAACATAAACATAAAACATAAACACTCACGCCTGTCACTCAGAGGGGTAGGCAGAGACTACAGACTTCCATTTGGCACGATCCTGACACACCTCTCTCGCCTCCTTCACATCCATACACCTACGCATATATGCTTGTCAGTTAAGGGTACTCCTAATTTGGCCCGTTTTCAATAATCATCGGTGTACAAAAGGCATTTGACAGTTAACTCACCCATTCTTAATCCGCATTCTTCAACTTTCAAATTTTGCAAACAACTGTCCATAAATACAGACACCTTTATGGATGCCAAACCAGTCCGAGTAGACACCGTTAATCCTAACACAAGCACTAGAGTCCCTATAAAGTGACTCCAATGCCTGTATCAAGCCAGCGTTCAACCCAAATGAATTCAGTGTTTGCCATAGCTCATCCCTATCCACTCTGTCATAGGCCTTTTCCAAGTCCATGAACGCACAAAAAACCTTTTGGTTTTTGGCCAACAACTTTTCGCGATCATACGCATGGAAAAGACTTGATCTGTAAATCCCATTCCCTTTCTAAATCCCGCTTGCACATCCCAAATTTTTTTATCAGTTTCTTTCATGACCCTTTCAATCAGTACCTTAGCATACAGTTTTCCCACAATGCTAAGAAGGCTGATACCACGGTAGTTTTTACAGTCCTGCTGCGACCCTTTTCCTTTATATACTGGGACTATCACTTTGCTTTTGGCTTTGCACCAGTCTCCTGTACCCGCTTCAGTTCCCAGCATAAATTAAAGAAGGTGTGCAGCAGGCCTGCCACCACTTCCTCTCCAGCCCTTAGCATTTCGAGTGAAACTCTATCATATCCGGCAGCCTTACCTGCTTTCATGCTTTTCATTGCTTTCATTATTTCATCTATACTTATCTCGCTACCTCTTTCCTCTTCTTTCGGAGTTTCTACTTCATTTATTTTATACATTGTCTCCTCACTCATAAAAACGCTTTCAAAATATTCCTTCCATCTCTTTACATATAGTATACTGTTAGAAAAAAATATCAGGTGTATTTATAATTTCAACACACATAATTTTTTTATACATAATATTTTTGCAGTGGGTGGAAGCTGCTAGTATTCAAGATTAATATGTCCTCAATTGAAGATACTGAGTTATTATTTATTTCACATATTTTTAAGCTTGGATCTGACAATGTTAATTGATTGTAATATAAAAAGGTATAATTGTAAGTGAGATAATTTCATAAAAGTGAAATATCGAAAACTACACTAAATATTCTAGTTCTAGACTAATAAAAAGTTATTTACCGCTAATAAAAGTTCAAACCTACAAGTTGAGCTCAAGTGTGTAATTATGGGAGGGTCAAAAGTAGCTCTTAATGGTTTGTGTAAATACAACAAACTACTGGTTCGTCGTCTTTTTCTTTTCAACACTCGGCTGACACACTGTCGTGTGTTTAGATATAACAAAAAAAAACATACAACTTACTTCGTCACTATCAAACTGTTCTGTTCCTCCCATTAACTCCTCAATTCGACTCATCACGGAACTGGGAAAGTTCATCTGAACTTCAGGCCCACTATCCTTGTCATCTAAAATTTCATTAGAATCCATTATAATAATAACTCAGATGTCTGAGAATAATAAGTAAATAGAGATATATTTTCCGAAAACAACAAAAAACATTCAACCCCAATGACAGCCAGTGACAGACAGTCATAGATAAGAGCATAGATTACTGTGTATATGGATAAGAGTGTAGTGTATTGGTGACAGTCCAAAGTAGGATGTCGATTTAAAATAGATTAATCTAAAATTCGATTATCTCGCAAATAATCTTTTAGATCGAAAAAAATTTTGTTAGATCTATTTGGAACACCGCATCAATTCGATTAATCAATCCTAAAACCTCTAAAACCTTATTGATTCATCTTATTCAAGAACTAGCGATAAAGTTCACAATCTAGCTGTGGTAAGATACCGCAGTTTTAAACTTTTTTGTTGTTGGCGGACACGAAAACAACCGGTCGTACTTGGTTGATAATTTGAACGCAATATATATTTGAAGAAAATAAATATGCCATCAAAACATAACTTGTAAAAAAACCAAGTCTCACAATATAGTTTTTCTATCGTAAAAAGTTGTGAGATCCATGTAACACCAAGTCGGTTAATTTATTCAGTCCCTACTTAAGGGTCATTCTGTCTTAAGTTATTAGATAATTAGCTAACCTAATAACATCTTATAGTGACCATATCAATATTAAAAAAAGACACACACGTCTTTTCTGTCACTCGGGGTGGTTGCGCGGAAAACCATTCGTATTTATTTTAATTTGACGGTAGGCTGCCAAATCGGTTATCCCATTCCAAAACGATATCATTCATACCCTCCTATCGACACATCGGGGTGGTGGGGTGGGAGGGGAAAGAAGATGATTCTAGAACATCACGTTATCATCGGAACCGAGGATATATAAGGCACGCGCGACCGACGCGCAGCCTCTTCCCGCCGCGCTCGTCGTTGAAACCACACCGCTAGTAGAAACCGCTTTAGCCTGGAAGCAATCGAGCTCCAGGAAACCCGCCTCACCTCGTGTGAGATATAGTCGCGCACCGCCCCTCTCCGGAGTGTTCCAGAAGAAGTTCCAGAAGTCGCAGTTATAGTGCTCGACCGCATAGAAGAAACATCCCGGTGAGTCAACATTTTCCTAATAGTATAGCCTGCTTGATATAATTGTTTAACCCGCTCCAATTTTGTGTTTTCCTAATCAAGCAGGATTCCTTTCATCGATTTGGCAAATAATAGTTCGTTTTTAGGGAAGAGCGAGTGCATTGTACCGCATATATAAGTGTAGAAGCATTTAGTAGATACAGTCCACTTAGATTAATATCTCGCGTAATAGGTTTAAGGTTCGACCGGGGAACTAGACTTCGGCAGCCTTAGACACGTGGCTCCACCACGGGGACTGTCGCGGTAAAGCTATTGCATAGCATTTTGTATCAACTTATGCAATTATAATTATTTTTTATTTATTTTATTTATGCAGTATTTCTTTTTCTTTGATATTAATTCAAGTTACACTTTTTGAGCGTGGTGACCGATAAGAAAACAAATTTTTTTCTTTTATTAAATAAATAAAAAGTTAATATTGTTTAAAATATTTTTCTTTTTTTTCTTTTTAGCTCTTTACGCTTTTCTTCAAGACAGGGTGATGTTATATCCCCGAAACTCTTCACCGCTGCGTTGGAAGACGTTTCCAAGCTAACTGTACTGGAAAGGATACGGTATTAACATCAATGGCGAGTACATCACTCACCTTCGATTTGCCGACGATATAGTCCTTATGGCAGAATCGCTGGAGGACCTTAGCACTATGTTCAATGACCTCAATGGTGTCTCCCAACGGATAGGTCTTAAGATGAACATGGACAAAACAAAGATCATGTTTAATGTCCATGTCACACCTATGCCGGTAGTTGTTGGGAGCACTATGCCTAAAGTTGTTGACGAGTACGTTTACCTGGGACAAATAGTCCGAATAGGTAAGTCAAAGTTCGACCGAGAGGTCAATCGACGGATGCAACTCTGCTGGGCAGCGTTCGGGATATTACGACACATCTTCTCGTCAGATATACCTCAATCTCTGAAAACTAAAGTGTATAACCAGTGCGTGTTGCCAGTGATGACTTACGGATCTGAGACGTGGTCCTTCACCGCTGGCCGTATGAGGACGCTCAAGGTCGCTCAGCGAGCTATGGAGAGGGCTATGCTCGGAGTTTCACTGCGTGATAGACTCAGAAATGAGGATATCCGCAGTAAAACCAGAGTGACCGACATAGCCCAACGGATTAGTAAGCTGAAGTGGCAATGGGCCGGCCATATAGCTCGAAGAACCGATAACCGATGGGGAAGAAAGGTTCTCGAGTGGCAGCCTCGTACCGGTAGGCTTAGTGTAGGGCGACCCCCCACTAGATGGAGTGACGACCTGGTAAGACATGCAGGAAGTCGATGGATGCAGGTGACTCAGGACCGCTCTTTGTGACATTACTTGGGGGAGGCCTATGTTCAGCAGTGGACTTGTGAAGGGCTGTAATGATGATGATGATAGCTCGTGAATTAGGTACGGAAGGGCTGACGAGGCCACTAACTATACAAGGTTTATCGGATAGCCAACGAGAGGCTAATAGTCGCGTAGTGAATATAGGCATACGCGGTAAAACAAGAAATTCGTATTTGATAAACGCTCGTACGATTAATAACTTAAACGTAGGTTGGCAATCCGTCGGTAAGGAATGTCTACGGTTGAAACATTTACGTAGCTTACCGAACGCAGTTAGTTATAATAATGCTAAACCTAAAGTGCTTATAGGTTCGGATAATTGGCATTCAATTGTATCGCGGGATTTAGGAATAGGACGTCGTAAACAGCCCATTGCCGCTAGGACGTTGATTGGATGGGTTGTACAGGGAAACCCGCCCCGTGTTATATGTAGACAAGATAGTGAAACCGTTCTACATATATCGTACGTTAATATGCGACATGAAGAAGACGTTAAAATGTATGTCAGTTCAGACGAGGAGTTGACCGATCTCCTCAAGAAGCAATATGAGATCGACTCGATAGGTATCTCGCTCAAGAGCAGTCCACGACGGGACGATGAGTGCGCTGTTGGCATATTCCATCGCACCGTCAAGAAGGTCGGCGAGCGCTACCAAGTCGGATTGCCATGGAGGGACGACGACGTCAAGCATTGTTAAAACATCACTTGTGAATATAGCAATTCCATTGTAATGGAGCTGGGGGCGGATAAGTGTGCGGTCCATGTTGAAAGGGGAAGGGTTGCTAACTCTGAGGGCATAGACCTGTCTATGCCCGTCAACTTAAGGACCCTTTCCGAGGCTGAAACATACCGATACCTGGGTATGTCACAGAACATCGGTATCGATGGGGCTGGTATGAAACAGTCAGTTTGCGACGTGTTTTATGCACGCTTGACATGTCAATGTTAAAATATATCGAAATCGATACGAGTTCAATACTCTAAATTCAATATCGAGTATCGATATATCGCGATTATAATATCATATATATATATATATATATATATATATATATATATATATATATATATATATATATATATCGCGATATTTTTTACACAAGCAGAATAACAGCCAGAGACAAAATGACAGAAAGAGAAGAGGATAACGTCGTTGCGTTTGTTTCTCTTTTCATTTTGTTGTGTTAATTTTCTCAGTTTTTTCTCTACGTCCGAAGCGTAACGTCGTCGTTAACGTCTCAGCAACAGAATGATCTGTCAAGACCTGTCTTCGGTCTAACCCTTTGAGTACTAACCCCAGTGTATGTGTTTAACATATTTTCAGTGTGCAAGTGAATTGTGTCTACAATGGCTCGGCTCACGGAAGAGATGGTTATCGCACGATCAAAGCAGTCGGACCTCTCCGCAATAAAGAAATTGAACTGTTGGTAAGTCAATTATGGAAATAATTAATAATAAATTTAAAGGTAGAAGGAGGACTACTGTTGGTCCGCTAGTTCTGAAAATAATTTTCATTTGCAAATCACATGCCTCGATAACCATGTTTTGTTTTTGTGGATTTTACAATAATTAGATTTGCTGTCTATAAAAAAGGTTCTTATGCCTGCATAAGTGTACATTTTTTTAACAACAGTCCACCACTGGACTTAAGCCTCACCCATTGTATGGAGAAGTGATGTTGATATATAATAATTGTTATTTATGGTGGTGAATAAACAATAAATATTAACCAAACAGAAAATATTCTTTGCCATTTTATATATTTTGATTAATATTTAAATTTTAACATAATAAATTTTTTAAGCTCATGTTATGTTAAATTAGAAATCTCTCAAAAAGGTCGAAGACATCCTTACATGAAATGAAATAAAAATTAGGCATAGAAAATGTTGCTTCTTCACCACACCACCCCACCATCAAGTAGAATAGTAGCAAAGCATATTGCCTCATAAAAGTTACTATAATTATGTTTTAAGCTTTTAAGTGGGTATAATAACTTATTTTCCCATAGTTATTTTAACCATCTCAGACTTGAAACAGTATTTTGCATGGTTTAATATATGGTTTTCTCTCATAGCATGTATCCATAGACAGACTGACCAATATCACACTTTAAATATTTATTATAATTTAATACTTATAATAAATACTAGAGTTGGGCCGTTTTTGGGCTGTTAAGAAAGCCATTAATCGCCAGCTGATCCCTATCTGATGAAAAATTCAAATGGTGGGACAAAAATTCTTCCAAATATCCAGAAATGTCCCATTTAGCCAAAGTTTTCCTTTGCTGCCCCGCCAGCTCTGTGTATAGTGAGAGACTTTTTTCTGAGGCAGGGAACATCTAATATCTACGAAAGAGAAAGAAATCGATTTCAACCAGAAAAGGCTGAGATTTTGGCCTTTTTGCATCACAATTTGCCACTGGTTAAAAATAACAAATAAATTAAATATTTTCTAAAAATCCTTCAATACTTTTTCAAATTGAGTATTTCTTTTTAACAAATTATTCGATGAATACAGATTTTTTATTTAATAACATTACAGGAAAAAAAAACAATTTACTGTAATTTTAAGTACAGAAAAATAATAATTTGATTTAATTTTTGGAACAAAATAATAACAATTTAGTTTTGAGTACAGAAACAAGTATGTTCTATTTGTCTTTTATAAATCTATATGCATGTGGTTTAAAAAACTTTATTCAAGAATAATTTTTTTGGCTAAGCTTTCCATTGACATCCGTTGAGTTGGGGGTTGATATTTTTTTTACAGAAAGGTTAAATTTATATAAGCACACACGTAAAGTTTCAACATGCGGAAAAGCGTACTTTTTGAGAAAAAAATTATTGAAAATTAATTATTTTTACAATATTTATGTCAATCTCTATCTCAGATTATATGATATTTTTTTTACAGAAAGGTTACACTATTGTAAACACACACGCAAAATTTCAACATGCAGAAACGTGTACTTTTTGAGAATCAGAGAAAATCAATTATTTTTATAATATTTATGTCAATCCCTAGTATATACACAGTAATCTATGGTGAATCCTTACCACAGATTACATCGAATTCTCGCCATTGAACGTTCGTTTTCCGTATGGTTAAGTTGTCATACGTTCGGTAGCATTTTATTGTACATTTTACGTAAATAATTATATTTTGTACTCATTTAAATAGTTTTCATGCATGCACATATATTTAACAGTTTATATTTAAATTACAGAATTATTATCATTATAAGCTATTATTATTAGAATGTGTAGTGTTTAGCTTTTTTTGCCAGCTTGTAGGACGTAACGTAAAACTGACGATTTCTAAGAATTAATTAAAGTAATATGTGTATAAAATTGTATAAAACATGTGTATAAAACAGTACCCACCTATTAGGACAGATAACAAATAAAATAGGTTAGGTGCAACTTATGTCAAGGAACCGAATCAATAGACCCCGACTCCACGTGGTACGAGTCTGTCCTACCCCTAGAGTGTTTTTATACAGCCGGAGGCGCGTAGGGAGAGCAGCCTCCGCCTGCTGTAACAAATCGTAGGCATCTGGAAGGATGCGATTTGTTACGCAAAGGCGTAGAGGCTGCTCTTCCCGCAGCGCCGGAGATGTTGCAGTCTCAAAATAGATACAGAAATCCCTCAGAATGAGTCGCTCTATTTATTTTTGGTGAAGGGGGTTCCCCCTTCCTGAGGGGGGTACCCCCCTTCCCCCCAAGAGATCCCCATGGTTTTTTACACTTAATATTTATCCATAAAAAATAAAATTTCCTCAGAATTAAAATTGAAAAAACTCAAAAAGGGGGGGGGGGGGGCTCCGCAACTTTTCCTTTTAAGGGGGAGTAGTACACCTCCCGCACTCCCCCACCCCCCTCCCACCTCCAATTCGACGGACGGCAATGGAAAGTCGTACCATTTTTTTTTATGCAAAGGGAGAGACTTCAAATTGGTTTTTAAAAGTTTATTAAGAATAATGTTATTAATATGTTACTTTGTTGTGTCACTACTCTGCATTATGATTAGAAAAAGTTAAAAAGGAGTATTAAAATAGTAAGTACTTAGGTTTTTGTTTAGTTTTAAATAGCTACCTCAGATTCTTTTTTTTACCAACGTAGAGATACGAGAGAGGTGAGTTTACGCATGGGAGAGGAACTATACTTTTCTTAAATTTAGAGCTTTACTCACATCAATGTAACCGCAGTTACCATGCAGAAAATCACGAAAAACCTTTGCTGAAATTAATAAAATAAAAAGCAATCGACCCCTTTTAGCCGATTATCGGTTTCACCGATTAGTCGGCGGCTAATCGGCCCAACTCTAATAAATACATTTTATTGTTTATTCTATATAATTTATGTGATATTTTGTAAGCTTAAACTATTTTTCTTATCTAATTTTATATACTATTATCAGAATGTAATAAATAGATAACATATCAAATTTGCTTTAAGTAATCTTTGTGTTTATTATAATTTTAAAAAATCCTACTAATGCCTATAAATTACATTATGGAACCATTATTAACCTTTCAGTAACCACAATTCAAATTGAAGTGTACTGTTTTAAGGGGACACTAATTAAACTAATTAGTAAAACTCTTAATAATGCAACCCAAAATGAGGATGTAGTGGCGTAATTCAAATAATCTTTGAATATAACCTGGCAGGAGTTGTCAATATTAGATTGTAATTGTATTGTTCTAAAAATATGTAAGGATACTATAGTCATTATAATTTATAGACCATCTGGATTTAAGGATCTCAAAAATTTTATTAAATCGCTTAGTAATATGCTCAATCTATATTCACATTATTAAACCATAATTATAATTTGCAATGTTAATACAGATATTGTTAGTTGTTACACAAAGTACGGACTCCTACTCTCTATATTACTTAAATAGTCTGGCATCTAAAGGTATGTTACCTGCCCACACCTTCCCTACCCATGGCAAAACATGTCTAGATCATGTCACATTGAAAACAAAACTTCGGTCAACCTACTATGTTGCGGAGACTTCCATTACTGATCATGATACTCTTATATTTCTATTAGAGGCTAGTTTAAATACACATAGTTCGCCACCAAAAATTGGAGAATGTGTAAATTATGATAATTTAGATAGTTACCTTTTCACTTTAGACTTTAAAAGTATTTATTCCATGGTAAATGTTGACTTCGCAGCTACATTCCTATTAGAATCCCTAAGTAATGTTTTAAAAATTAATACTAAAACAATTAAAGTTTCTAATCGCAAAATTATTAAAAAGCCCTGGATTACCCCAGGTATTTTGAGATGCTTAAGAAATCGTGACAAATTACACCTAAAATGTAAAAAATATCCGCATGATGACATAATCGTAACTACATACAAATGTTACCGTAATTATTGTAATGAGCTACTTAAACTGAAAAAAGAATATGAAAAATCAGAATTGACAGCAGCAGTTAACAAGCAATAAAAAACTTTGGAAAACAATTAAAACAGTCACAAATATGAATAAACTAAATAAAAATGCCGATATATTATTAAACGGATCTGACCCTAAAACTTCAGTTAATTATCTTAATTAATTTTTTGTAAATATAGGCAAATCTTTGGCAAAAACACCACGTTAATAACAACACTCATAGCATTGTTCCTACAAACATATATCAACATTCCATGGTACTTATTGACATGGACGAACATGAAATGGAGACAATTATTTTAAATATGAAAACTGATTGTAGCGTAGGTAGGGATACTATTTCTACTTTCTTTCTAAAAAGGTATAGAAATTTACCAGTCCCTCCCATTAAATACATATATATGTAACCTTTCCCTTAAAACTGGTAAATTCCCCAAGTGTTTCAAACTAGCTTAAATTCACCATATTTACAAGAGCCGTGATGCGGGCTGTGTCAATAACTATAGACCCATTTCCATTCTTCCCACTATGTCAAAAATTCAAGAAAAAATAATCAACAAGCGTTTGACTAATTACTTAGAGAAACATAATCTGTTATCACATTGCCAATTTGGTTTTCGGCCAAAACTTTCTACTCAGGATGCAGTTCATTAACTAACAGATTTCGTTGTTTCAAACCTTGACCGTAAAAAGAAAGTAGTTGGTATATTCCTTGATCTAGCTAAAGCATTTGACATAGTTTACGCCCCGCTCTTGTTATATAGGGTAGAAGATCTTGGAATAAAAATACACAGCTGAAACTTTTCTCTGACTACTTAACAGATCGATTTCAGAGGGTAAGGATTGGTGGTTACTACAGTGATGACCTTTCTATATCATATGGTGTACCACAGGATAGTGTACTTGGTCCCACGCCATTTCTTACATATATTAATACACTATGTAATCTAAAAATTAACAATGGGAGGATCATTGCCTTTGCGGATGATACGGCTCTTCTTTTCCAG